GGGGTTATTGCCTGGCAATCCTTCCATATTCTCCATGCAAATCTATTGTAACCCAGTGCCCTCCAGATGTTGTGGACTACAAGTCTGTTATTCCCAACTAGCCTAGTTAATGGCAAAACATTTGGGGGGTTGTGTTCAAAACTCTCAAGGGTACTTATTTGGGATAGGTTGCTCTATGCCATTCTAGATTTTAGATTTGTTTCCTTGCAGCTAAAGTATGCTTACTCACCTTAGAGAAGAGGTTTAAGGAGAGATATTATTAGATAGGCTAATGGCTATCTATAAAAGGAACACAAAAACTTGTCTGTGAATATTTCTCAGAGAATCTTAGAAGAAAATTTAGTGCTGCCCCATTTGGGTATTCATTTTCAGATGAGGACTGGATGTAACATTCTGCTTTAACCACAGTTCTGAGTTTGTGCCCTTTTCCAGAAGTCCTATAAAGTAGATCAGTATTATTATACCCTTTCACAGCTGAGGCTAGGAGAGAAGCTGCTGTTGCCCCAGGTACCTTCACATGTATATCTCAGGCGTAATATGCTATTTGTTTTTAGCTTCTCTTGATAATGTAGCCTCTCCCCAAAAAAGAAAGAAGAGCTTTTTTGGATCCAATTTATTTTATAGTTTGGAACCACTGTTGTTGGTTCATTTATTTTTTCCAACCATGGCTTGAGAAAGAGAAACCCTGAATATTCTGGTCATTTTAATTCTTCTCTCATTTCTCCTGGGCACTGGTGAAAACAGACTAAAGATGACTTAAGAGAGCCATGATTGCTCTGCTTAACTGCAGAGGAACTGAAACAAATCATGGCGTAGTTTTATGTATGAAATAACACAGCCAGAAGAGAGATTCAGATCAGGTCTTTCTAATTTATAACCCTGCTGTTTATTGCAGTTCCTAGTATGCTGTTTTTTTCTGACTCTATCCTCTTGTTTCTTATGAAGTGGGTGTGTGGTTGTGTGTTTGGAAGGAGGGGAGGAGGACAATTTCTTGTATGAAGTGGTAAATGTTATTTTAATTAGAAGTAGCTAGCTGCTCACAGTGATTGTCAGGGCTAACTTTCTAGTGACAAATCCATATTAAATACAATGATTCCTTTCAAACACAGCAGGATCTTAGCTACCTGTCCACCCACCTAAACAGTTAAAGGCTTAAAATACTGTAGTTCCTCTTCTTCTAATATACAGTATGCCTATTTGAGGAGCTAGTACAGTATATCTACTCTTATAAAAGACACAGTTGTGAGGAATGTAACAGGTAAAACATACAGTAAGGAGGAATTCTATGGCAAGGCAAGGGCCCAGGCAATTTTGCATACTTTTTCCAACAGTGGCCAGTTGAATGCTTTGGAAGAGCCCACCAAACACCCACACACACATTAAGGCAGAAGATCTACCTTATTCTTCTCCTTGTAGACTTATTAAGAATGAGTGTGCTTATGGGGGCTTTTCAACCCTGATTCTCTGTAGTAGACAATTATGTGCAAGAAGTAACCCAGGAATTTTACCCACAACATTAAGGATGTTGGTCTTACTAAATTCCCTTTTGTTTTTGCATTCTCCCTGCCTGGATGGCCTTGCGGGTTCTAGATAAAATGGCATTATTTCTTCATCAAAGACTTTGCTGCATAAGCTTGGTTGATAGCCATGGGCGAATAACAACCTTCACCTCTTTTCCTTGTCCCACTAACTTGGTGAAGTGGAGCAGAGAATTGTCCCTTCTTCATGCATGGAAGGTCACAAAAGCAGTCAGCCTCTTCCGCCTTCTGTCAGTGATTTACAAATGTGGTGTGTGTATGTAAGGTGTTTACGCTCTGTCCTTTAATTCTGGCTCTAGTGTTAACATGGCCTTTTAAGACCGAATTGGCAACTGTTTCAAAGCTGATGAAAGAGGCATTGAAGAAAGTTGGCATTTTATGACTTTCCTAGATTTTATTTTGTTGTGCATTTCTTCTCCCAAGAGCAATCATTTTGCATTATTTTTCCAAGGGAGGGATCTTCTATAATTCTGCTATTTTCATAGTCAAAAATTGGAACTCTTCCGTTATGATCTACCATATTTTTATAAGTATTTATTATTAGTTAAAATATTTCTATCTCAAATGGAACATTCCAGAGAGCAAACACCAGACAAAATATAGCAAACAAAAAATAACTATTGCTGTCACAGATGCTGTGGAGAAGGAGGGTCCATCAGGATAATCTATTAGGAAGTATTGGATATTGCCTATAGCAGCATTAGGGATGAATTGTTCAAGCCCTTTTCCTTAGCATAATTTGTATACTGCTTTAAACAGAAGTTTGCTCATTTTCATTATGTTCAAAATACCTTCACAAGTTTAGAATACAGTTCAAGTACCGCTTGAATGGCAAAGTGCACAGCCAATGCTTTAAAGCAAACAAAAACATAAAGTGGCTATAAATACCTTGAGGGGGGATTGGAAGCAAAGTAACTTTTACAACAACTCCAAGAAGTGAATGGTTAGAGGTTTGGGACTAAGAGCAACAGGAAGAAATGAAGGCCTGTTGCAGTCATAGACACATTTACTTGATTCTCAAGCCCACTGAGAAATCTATGGGTTACTTTCCTATTTGCATGTATAAGACATAGCTATGTCATATAATCAGGCTTGTCTGCAAAGCTTCTACAGGTAGTCCCCAGTTTAAGAACAAGTTCCATTCTGCAGATCTGTCCTTAAGTTGAATTTGTATTAAACCAGAATATTGTATAATACTGTATAAATAGTATTGTGTAATTAATTTGAACCATTGTGTATTTACTCAAATCATTATGTATTTAACTCAAATTTTGCTACAATAGGCTCCTTCTTAACTATGGGTCATCCTTAAACCGGGCATTCATAACCTGGGGACTACCTGTAATATAATACTGCCAACATTTTTTGTAAAGAAATCATCCTGATGGCTTTACTGTCAGGAGACAAAGCAGAAAACTTCTAACCCATTGCAACAGTTATCTTTTCCCTTAGCAGTCCTTTTTTTCTGAAGACTACCAGTTTGGACTTGTCCTGATTACTAAATCAGTTGCAGGAAAGACTCCATTATTATGCCATGTCAGATCAGTGAGAAACCAGATTTTGAGAGAGCAGACTACTTCCAAATGCACTTCATCTCATTGTGTTTAAAAACAGGCAAGCAGAAGGAGAGAAAAAGAATCCCTCTCTCCAGTCAAACATTCATGTTTGATTCACATCACCAGCCAACCAGGTGTGAAACCAATTGCAAGGTCATTAAACAAAGTGAAGATAAATGTTGAAAACTGCTTTAAAAGCATATACCTTGGAATATATGGGGAAAATTAGAATAGCTGTATTCACAGAACCATCCTTAATCAGATCAGCAAAAAACCTAATGGTTTAATTCTTCAGCATACTATACTAAGCTTGTTTAGCTTGAACCTTTATTGTGTATGTGGCTTAGCCTCATGTGTAAGCCCAGCATTTTGATTAGGCAATGATTCAATGTATTATGTAAATCTAGAAATTCAGTAACCCAGTTAAGTGTGTTGTGCAAACAGCCTATACAAAGAGATAGAGAAGCAGGACCGGAAATATATAGCATATGTTTAAGGCAGTTGGCATGGCAGTTTTTGTGTGATTAGGGGGCAGTCTCTCATAAAAGAATTTCAAATATCCTTGTGTGCAATGCTTCCTCCACATGGGAAAAAAAACAACAATGGCCTCTGTTGGGAGGTAACTTTAAAAAACAGGAGTCCAAGGTTCCTCCAGCAAAACCATCTGTTGAAATAGTAGGTTACAGACTGCATGTTAGCTTTAGCACCTCTGTCAATCATTCATGTCACAACTGCATGACTGAATTCACACTTTATTTTATGTCATTGTTTATTTAGCCATGGTTTGTTCAATAAACCAATTGGCTTGCTTCACACATTACATTCCAACCATATAACCTGCAGTTTACAAAAGACTATGTCTAGGTTCAATCATCATGCTAAGCCAAGTAGAAACAAACAATCCTCAGTATGGCTTAGCTGGTATTTGAACTTAGCCTATGAATTAGATCATTATTCACAATGCTTAGGGATCTATTCAAAGTAAAAAAATACATAACATGCTGAAAAATTGACATGATTTTCTTGGTGATATTCATTATAGCATGATTGGAAAAGCTATAGCTCTTATTTGATTTGTAACCTTAGATATTATGACATGGTTTTGGACAATATGTTTGACTTAATTTGCTGTTACCGTAGGGTGGGGGCATCATTTTTCTCTTGTTTTGTTCTTTGGTGGAAATGAAAAGACATTTCTATACTGATGTGACTTCTACAAACTGTCCTTTTTGTGTATTGTGTATGTTTGAACCAAAGTCCTGAAAACATGTCAGGAAGAGGTCCAACTCAGCCCTTGTTGGAGCACTCCACAGATGCTCTTCAGCAACCCTCTGGGAAAGATGCTTTGTATAAAATGTTCAGTCAGGCCTAAGCCTGAACCTACCTTGAGCTTTTATCCAGAGCAGCTGAGCTTTCAGGCATATATAGATTATTACACTAAATGGACCGTATGTTTATGCTGGCCAAGTTTTGAAAATCCAAAAGAAGATTTAAGTTCCTTCCTCTGTCCTTGAAACCCCTTTCCTTACCTACTAGAGCTGAAAGTAAAGCCTAGAAACCAAGGACAATATGGTTACTTCAGTTAATATTTGTAAATATCTGTTCATGGAATAACAGAAAGGTTATTCTGTGTTTCTGCTTCTGTGTTTCAAGGCTCAACAATAGGTCCAAAGCTATAGACAGTAACCAAAATAAAAACCTTCCCATATCTGTTCAGGTTGTTCTGAACAAATAATCACTGGAACAGAGTGTGCCTCTTTTAAAGCAACCACTTCATCCTAATTGCTCAACTTTTGAACTGGCTGTCCAACAACAAGTCAGAGAACATGTTGTGACTTCCAGAATCCAAGAGCCTACCATTCATAGCAGGCAGTAATGTCACCTTTTCTGTCTTCTTCTCTTGCAGCTTAGATCATGGGGAGCAGTAAAAGTAAACCCAAAGACCCTAACCAACGGAGACGCAGTTTGGACTCCACAGAAAACATACATGGCAGCTGCTCTACCTCTCAAACACCCAGCAAGACCACAGTCCCAGAAACTCATCGCACCCCTAGTCGATTATTTGGAAGTACAGCTACAGAACCAAAGCTCTTTGGGGGATCAAATACATCAGATATGGTCACTTCTCCTCAGCGCTGTGGGGCTCTAGCTGGTCAGTATGCTTTCTGTCATGGGAGGAACTTTTAATCTAGAATTATTCTGGTCATCTGAAATATACTTCCTTTGTGTCTAAAACGGAGGATGCAGTGATCAAAGGTTAAGTTCACACAACTTGCTTATTAGGGCTGGGCAAGCCAACACAGTTTGTGGTTGGACTATATCATGTAAAGCAAGACTATATCTTGGAAAAGCAAGATGCTCTGCCTCAGCGCCTCCAACTGAAGTGTTGTGGCAAGCTCCTTCTCTTTGCCCAGCTCCTTTGTTTTGGTGGAAATTTCTTCTGTGCAGATGCCAGCATGTGCAGAGGACAATTGAAACCAGTGAAGCAGCTGTTTTGATATAGTGCACTGGATTCACTGTAGTGTCTATAAGAAGAGAGCTTTTCATTTTGTGGAATTGCGTCAAAGGGTTCCTTTGTTGAAGGCTCAATTGAAGTGAAGTGCACTGTCAAGGCTTCCCCATGGTTTCTTCAATTAACCCAGTTTCTAGGCTTTCATGGCATAGTGAATTATAAATTATGCACGCAGGCTGGATATGTATTACATAATGGCTGTATTGGCACAGTTCACTGAGATGTAAACTAGCCAAGATATTGGTTTGATGTAAACTAGCGAAGATATTTGTTTAATGTCTTTATGATGCCAACCTTCTCATTCAGTATGTTGTGTGAATGTAGCCGAGCCACAAACTAGCCAACCACATGTTTTTAACTTTTGTCCTTGCAGAAGGTATTCTTTTGTATCTCCAATGATACAGAGAAAGATTCAAACTCAAAATAAGGAGGAATTTCCTGACCATGAGAGCTGTTAAGCTATGGAAGAGCCTTTCTCCTGGAGTTGAAGTTGCTCCATTACTAGAGCTTTCCAAGCAAAGGTTGAAATGAGGGATGAGAGCCAGTTTGGTCTAGTGCAGTGTTTCTCAACCTTGGCAACTTAAAGATAGGTGGACTTCAGCTCCCAGAATCCCAGGAAGCACTGGTCTAGTGGTTAAGGCTCCAGGCTAGAAAGCAGGAGACTGTGAGCTCTAGTCTTGCCTTAGGCATGAAAGCCAGTTGGGTGGCTTTGGGCCAGTCACCCTCTCTCAGACCAACTCACCTCACAGGATTGTTGTTGTGGGGAAAAGAGTATTAGGTATGTTCACCACCTTGAGGTTATTTATAAAAATACCAAAGATGGGATTAAAAAATCTAAAAAAAAAAAAAAAAGGTTGGAGAGGCATTTGTCTGGGGTGGTCTGAGGATTCCTGCCCTGGGCAAGGGAGTGGCCTAGAAGACCTCCAAGGTCCCTTCAAATCCTATGATTTTATAATATGAAATTGTGAAGGTACCAGAATTACAATATTCAAACAATTTCCAAAGATTCTTATTTGAAAGAGAAATATTGGAAGGAGAAACATAATACTCCATTTGCTCATGAACATCTATTCATTTTATTATCTAGCAAAGGAGGATTATCAAATACACATAAATAGCTCCTACACACATAGAGCATTATGCACAGAGATCTTTTCAAAAAGGAGTCAGTATATTCAGCACATAAGCTTTGATCATGCAGTAACAATGCTGATTAATTTCTTGTGGACTGGTGTTTATTGTGTGAATGTATATTGTTCCAGGTGGAGTCACCACATTTGTGGCCCTCTATGATTATGAATCACGGACAGAATCAGATCTTTCTTTCAAAAAAGGAGAACGCCTCCAAATCCTCAACAACACGTAAGTACTTTTTGCCAGTATAAGAAACAACTCTAAGATAGTTTCTGGAACAATTTTCAGATCCATACAGTTGGTTGGAATCGGTTATCTTTGTAAAGATCTTGCAGAGTTAACTCTTTTGTTATCCAGCTTCAAATCATCTGAAACTCAGCAACTGCAGATTTTTTTTTTTTTTAATGATGGACAACCTGGATCCCTTCAGATGTAGCTAAACTACAGCTTTAGTCTTCCCAGTCCATGGTGAGAGATGCTGAGAGTTGTAGCTCTGGATGATTTGGAAGGAGACAGGTTACCCATCCCTGATTTATGCCAATAGACATTTTAACACAGAAGAAAAAGATAGTTTTTTTTTTATAAAGAGCATTCAGTCTTTATAAGTAAAGATTTTTTTTCAAAAAAAATTGCAAGTGGGGTCAAATTAAAAGAATGGGGTGTTGCCACAGGCAGCTGCTGTGCTTCTCCAACTTGGTGCACTACAGGTGTGCTGGAACTGTAAGGCTTGGCATTTTCCAACTAGCAGACTTCTGGGACTTGTAGTCTGATGGTGTCTGGAAAGTGCCCCATTGGGGAAGGGTGGCCTGTTTTATAGGATCACTGTGAAGACAGGCAGGATAAAGACTGAAAAGGACACAGTTCATTAAAAGCATGTTGTGAGCAATTAATGGTATTATTTGCCATATAATTGAACAGATAGAAGCAGACTCTTCAGGGCAGATGTTGCTCTCTCTTTCTGCTTCCTTCCAGCAAATCTTTTTCATTTATTACTCCTCTATCTAAACATTTCATCTGCCCTGTAATTTATCTGAGATTTGAGCTTGCTGAAGCCTTTCTCCTTTCTTCCTTAAAGTTACTTTGAACAGTGAGAGACCTTTATGAAAAACAATGGGTTAATTAATTCCTTTTTTTCCCTATCCCTTGTAAAGCGAGTATTGTAGAAAGCATTATAACTCTTTATTTCAAATGCTGGGTTGCAGTTCTTTCCCTGATGCCCAGATTGAGAGTTCCTCAAATTTTTGTTAATAGCCCAGATTAATCCAGATTGGCTGTTTGATTTGTTTCAACATGACAGTTATTGTATGAAGATGGTTAATAGCACTGAATAAAGAAAGAATTAAGTTAAAGAACAGGAGAACTAAGGTAGGCATTGAGCTCCCCTTTACTGAACAGCTTTAAGCAGAAATTGGCCAGACATTTAGTGGGAATGCTTTAATCTGGATTAGTATGCTGAATTCATGCTGGACAAGATGGCCTGTATGCCCCCTATCCAACTTTACAATTCTGTGATTCTAGAATTTTGAAACAGAATTTGTTATCCTACAGTATGTTAATCTAAGACTCTTTTGAGCTAAGCAGAATTGAATTTCTGTATTCTCTACTTCATAACCACCAAATCAGTTTCACAAAGTTCTTTTATCCTTTAGATTTACTATTATTTTGTCACTGGGAAAGCCCATCTAATACTACATTATCAATGATTCCTAAAGATGCAACCTTAGATATCCCTCTTCAGGTCTATTAAGGGAGTCTTGTGCATAATAAAATATCAACATTATGGACTCCCATGCACCAGAATGGCCTTCAGATGCAATGGATAAACTTTTAGTTTGGACTTCACCCCAGACTAAACAGACAAAGCTCACTGTTTTCAAAGCAGTCCAGATAATTAACATTAGTTATGTTAATGCCATTTCTTCCCCTCAAATGGAAATTGTGCTTTTATTGTACTGCCATTTAGTTCACACATAGGTTTGAATGGATTTCATCCCTTATTAAAGATAAAGACTTGTACAGTATTTGGTTTTTGAAGACACCCTACAGTTCCTAGGAATATAAATTAAAATCAGTTTTAGGATTATTTGTTTTTGTGTATATGTACCTACTGTGAAGCCAGGGCATTCCATAGTCAGTATCTCCCACTTGTTCTGGAGACAGGGCTTGAAAGTTCTGATGTTGTTTCCTGTGAAAGGGAATAGCTCCATCCCAGATCTGGCCCAGCATTGCTTCAGCAATACTAAGAAATCCCTTCATATTCTCCCTCTCCTTCCTTTCTTTGCCATCTTTTCTTCATTTACTTGTTTTCCTTAAGGATTAATATTACAAACCACATGGGAAACAAGCTCTTGTTCAGCAGCTTGTTGTCTGTGGATTAAACCAGAGGAATTCTCTGATACCTATGGAGGAGGGAAGGGATAGGCCTCCAACAGTGCTTTAGCATGCCCCCTTTTTCCATCTCACTCCCACCGGGGGACCTCCATCATCCCTGGAGCTGAGTCACCACTCATAAACTTTTTGCAAGGGTGGCTGCCAAGTTCCATAACTTCCCACAGGTAGTCATAGGCTTTCCTAAGACTCCCATAGTAGATGCCCCTGTGGCAGCTCTGACCTCAGGAGCCAAAGTAAATAAAGTTGGGGAGGACACCTCCAACATAAAGATTACATCGAAGTGGAGATTTTGCAGCACAGAGTGCATGAGGCTACTGCCCTAGGTGTACAGGTCTCTCTTATCATGTTTATGGACTCTGTTTTATAGACCAAACGTTTATTCTTGCTCATCCCTCATACGGCATAGAAAGGGCATAAATAAACTAGTTGGGTCTGGCTCTTTCATTATGGATACTAACCTGGGTGGGGTCCCCTTTTCAGCCAGAGGCACAGCAGCCAATATGGCCATTCGGTGAGAACTTTCACTGAAACACTGCTACATGGACTCAAAAACAAAGTCAGTCCTTCTATCAGGTCCATTCAGTGGTGGCAAAATATTTGGAGAGGCCCTGGATGATGTCTTAATTGAGTCCTTAGACTAAAAGGGAACCTTACCTCTCACCAATGAAAGTGAGAAATACCCTCAAGTGGTGATTATCAGAAGTCTGTTTCAAGGGAAGAGACATGGCCTTCTCACTATATCTAACTCACTACAGATACCAGCCTCAGGGAATGGTGCACAGAGTTCACTGCCTAGATTTTGTAGATCACAAAGTCTGGGTGGAAAAGGAAGCAAAAGACAGCATAAATTTCCTTGAACTGTGCATGGTATGGCTAAACCTGAGCATGTTCCAAACTTGTCAACATCCTAACCACAGCCTCCCAGTGGAGCACCAGACGTGTTAACCAAATTCACCCATGTGGATCCCAGCTAGTAACAACTATACACCTGGAGACTGAGCTGGGATACCACACCAACTAGGGTGTTATATTGAATTCATACAGACCATCCTAGTGTTCCATTACTTCAGCCAGATGGATATCAGAAATAGGAGTGCTCTTAGCCTTAAAGGAGTTCTACATCATCTAGCCAGACACCATTACTCTGAACCTGGACCCACATTTTATGCCCAAGGTGACTCCTGTCTTCCAACAGGGCCAAGAAGTGATTGTCCCTTCCTTTGGCTACGATTGTAACACCCAGCTAGAGAAAGAATGACACAAACTAATTGTCAGATTTGCCATAAAGATCTGTATGAGAAGAACAGGAGTTCAGAGTCTCAGACAGTCTTTTAATATCTGTACAACAGCACAACTTGGGCTGCAAAGCCTCACCAACTATAGTCTCCAAGGGGATCAAGACCTGAATCAAGCTAGCTTAAGAAATATAGAATAAGCCTATTCCACAAAAAATTGTAGCCCACTCCATAAGAAGCACAGCCACTTCAGACTCTTGGACATAATGTATCACCCCTCCCTGCAGGACATCTGTAGAGTTACCAAAGGGTCCTCCATGTTGACCTTTATTAAACAAGACGTCCTGGCTCCACTATAAGAAAACAATACATTGGACTTACCACAAAGGTCCACTTTGTACCGTGGAGACAGGTCATCCAGCCCAACTAGGTCCACACCTGCAAAAAAGGGAAAGGAAAAATGTATCGGGGGCTGCCATCGATATTGGCAGCCACTTGCACATAAACATTGTTTCACAGGTCTGTCATGTTTTAATACTTTTCTGAAGTGTTTTCTTTGAGTTTTCTTTCTGGCTTGTCACTGTGAAATTGGGATGGAGCTATCTCCTCCTGCAGGATGCAATTTTAGACCTTTCTAGCCTTGCATTCAGAGTGAGTGGGAGGGAGATGCCCACTATGAAATGCCTTGTTCCTGCTGTAGAAAAGGGACGCTGATGGTAAGTCCAGTATGCTATTCTCACTTTTAGTACTATTTCAAAACTGTACTTCTTCTAATCTAAGCTCTGTCTCTCTCTCTCTCTTTCATTCTCTTTTCTCCTGCTCCTCATGCTTTCATTTAGGCGAAAAGTGGATGTCAGGTGTGTATCTTCTCTTTGATATTGGGGAAAAAAAGTGCTAATCAATGTTTTGATGTCTGAAGTATGGAAAAATGATTGAATGTTAGGACTGTTTAAGCAGTGTGATTTTGTAGATTATGCATAAATCCTATTTTTTATTTTAATATTGGTTTTATGAATTCTTCCTTCTTGCATTCCAGCAAATTATGCATTTTTGAAGCACTGTTCCCAATGAGTTTCAGCCTTTGGGTATACTTGTGGTTTCAAACAAGAATGTGGGGAATATGTGGTAACTGAGAGAAATCATGAGCATCAGCTTTAATATTTTAAGAGTGAAAAAACTGGGTTTCACACCACATGAACAAACAGTGTTAAATATTCCTCTCAAGCAGAAGGTTTTGGTATAGTTGTGTATGTTTTTTTCATGTAGTTTAATGAAAGGGAATACATAAAAATGGGTCTGTCCATTTGTAAGTGACTGTATTAAAATATTCTAGAATGTTTGTGTGTGCGCGCTTCTAATGTTGCAAGCGGACATTTGTTTCAGCCATGAATGGAAGTAGTCCAACAAGGGTTGAATCCATTCCAATAGTTTACACCAGAGATGGAAACCTGATATGAAATGGATGTGGTAATGACATTTCCTCCCTTTTTTTGTGGAAAAGAGGCTGGGGCTGGGGTTTTCTGTAACACTCCCCCCCCCCGCCCCTTGTTATGCACAATAAACACCAGAAGAAGTAGCGACTTGCTTCTTTTTAAAGGAGAG